TTGAGAGGCCGGCAAGTCAGGCGGGGAACGGGGAATGTTGGAGTCCTCTGTCACTGAAGCAAGCAAGCCTCCCTGTTCCCATCAGCTGCCTGGCTGCCGGCTGCCATCTTGGCTGCCAGTTAATTTGCATATCTCGCTGATTAGCCAATGGGAAGGGTAGCGGTCGTACACCAATTACCATGTTTCTCTTTTATTAGTGTAGATTGGTTATATTAGGATTTGAATTCTGTGCAAATGAGGAAACTGGGGTCTGCTTAAAGACAGCCCTAACTAGTGGCCAAATCAAATTCCCATTTCCATTTTAGTGTTCTTTCTATGATATTCCACTGCCTTCATATCTGTGGTACCTACTGCATATGTAAGGGGGCATTTGCCTTGAGCTGCTCATTAAGTAATGAGAGGGGATGGGGCGGGTGGGAGGCTGGGGTCCACAGGGCTGCTGCCGGGGGCTGTCTCAGGCTCACCACAAAGCCATCCTCAAGGTGGCCATCAAATAGGATCGATCATTCAGTGAGCTCAGTTCAAAAGCTTCACAATGTGACAATGGAAATTGACTTGATTTAGCTTCAAAGATTCTATTAACTCAGAGAAATGATGATTTTCTGGGAGAATTTATACACAGCTACTGGTAGAGAACGGAAATGATTTTGGCGTTTTGAAACATCTTTTAACTCAACTCTTAGACCTAGGTTTAAGACATAAAATATTATAGCTTCGATTCCTGGCCCTCTGGTATGCACATTTCAGAGCCAGATGATTACATCTTGATCCTAATTACAAAGGAACTGCAGAATTGGCAGTAAGCTCATTTTATAAGGTTGCAAAATAACCTGCTTCAGAAATTAGCACGCGGTGAATCTTCCTAAACACCCCATGTGCATGTGTATCCGAGGGGGAATTACTTGCTTGAGACACATGACCTTCACTTCTAAGGTCAAAGTACATTGAAATTATGAGAAATGAATAGTAGCATATTACTGAATTCCAAACTATATATTTTCTCTCTTTGCCTCCTTGTTTTTCTCCTCATTGTAATGAAAACCCAAAACAAGAGAAAGCTCAGCCCTGGCCAGTGTGGCTCAATTGGCTGAGCATCGTCCCATGTACTGAGAGGTCATGGGTTCAATTTCTGGTCGGGGCACATATCCAGGTTGTGGGCTCCATCCCCAGCAGGGGGTGTGCAGGAGGCAGCCGATCCATGTTTCATTCACACATTGATGTCTCTCTCTTTCTTCCTCTCTCTCTAAAATCAACAAAAAACATATTTAAAAAAATAGTCCAAATTCCTGAATTTTTAACAAACTTTTTATTTGAAAGTAGTTTTAAACTTACAGGAAAACTGCAACGAAACTAGCACACCTGTGTGTCCTTTACCTAGAATCTTCCTGTGAACATTTTTACCTCATTTGCTTTAACATTGATTCTCTCTCTCTCTCTCTCTCTCTCTCTCTCTCTCACCACAAACACACACAACACCCACATGAATTTTTTTCTCACTCATTTGAGAATAAGTTATATGCATCATGACCTTTTACTCCTAAATATTTCAGAGTGTGTTTCCTAATAATAGGGATATCGCCCCAGAGAACCACAGTGCAGGTATGGGCTTTGCTGGGTTTACCAGCTATGCGTTGGACAAATCTACCCATTCACACTCCAGTTTTATCAATGGACCCAAGGATGTCCTTCAGAGAAGTGTCCCCCACCCCAGCCCTGGATCCAGCGTAGACCTGGGTGTTGGCTTTCGTGGTCAGGTCTCCTCCGCTTTCTTTGATCGGGAACACTGCCATCTTTGCCTTTTACAATGTTGACCTTTTTGAACAATGGAGTCTGCTCCCGGCCTTTTTAAGTACAAAGTTGGTGATTTTGAGTTTGTCTGGGAATGTGTCTCATAGTTAGAGCCGGGTGATGCATTCGCCGCCAGCATACTAAAGAGAGTGACGCCGTGTCCTTGGCAGGGTGTCACATCTGGGGGCACGCCGTGTCCATCTGCCCCGCACTGACCACCTGCTCAAGGTGCAATCCAGGTCTCCACTGTGTGATTACTGCCCCCTCCCCTGGCAACTAATAAGCAACATATGGGAAGGCGCTTTAAGAACATCCGAGTAGCCGGCTCTTTCTTTGTAGAATTGTAGCAGCTACTGATGATTCCTGCTTGATTCTGTCATCTTACTGTGAGAGTTGCAAAATGATTTTCCTACTCCCACACACGCTTCACATTTACCAGTTGGAGCCCAAGATTCTGCTGTAAGCAAGAGCCCTCCCTTCGCTCCATTTATTTATTTTTGGGATTAACTCACAAATTATCTCTCCCCCCGCAACCCCGGTGGTTTCTAGCTCATCATTGTCCTTAATTATTTCGGTAGTCAAGTTGTTCCAGCTTTGGCCGTTGATAGCCCCTACAAGCTGGCTTGCCTATATTGTTCTTTTGAACACTTCCTTACTTTCTGGCATAAAAAAAGACATTCTAGGTCCATCTTTTACCTCCCTTGCTTCCTCCTCCTGCCCCTCAGAGATTCCTGGGTTTTGACTTCGATTTGTGACAAACGTCAGCCTGAAAACCCTGGGCTCACCGGACGCCTTGCTCTGAAGGTCAAGGTCCCTGAGTTTTTGCCCTTGCCAGTGTCACCTTCTCCCTGGTCCAAGGTCATTTCAAATGTCATTTCCACTTTCCTCCAGATGGCCACCCCTGGGCCAATTTAATTGTTCCCTTATGCGTGTTTCCATAGCACTTTTTACATCTCATCATTATGGTGTCAGTCTTGTATTATTGTGCTTCGGTTACATTTCTGGTTAGACCAAATTCAGATATTTTCAAATAACCTGGTATTCTGTGGATGATAAACCTGAGGTTCAGGCGAGTGCGACCGAGAGAGAGAGAGAGAGAGAGAGAGAGAGAGAGAGAGAGAGAGAGGCAGCGGAGCACAAGGTGAAAGCCCTACCTCGGTTAAAGCCGACCCCTGCCATTTATTAGCTATAGGGCCTTAGGCAAGTTACGTAACCTGTCTGTGCTTCAGTTTCCCCAACAGTAAACTATGGACGGTAATGAATAGAAGCGGCCCCACAGGGCTGTTACGCGGATTAAAGGAGCCAATATTTGTAAAGCACCTAGGAGAGTGCCCGCCACATGGTAAGGGTTATATAAATGTTCGTTAAGTACAACAGTCCTGCCACTGCAATTCAACTCCAAGTCTTCAGACGGTGAAGTTCCCAGCCACCGCTCTATCTTAACTGCGGAATTTCAAGATTCCCGGAGAAGCAGTAGTAATATTAGAGACAGCAACGACAGGAAGCTGGTTCTGGGCATAAGATTACGGAGGCGAGAGGGAGCAAACGTTTCGGCCAACTGCTGACTTAAGGCCTGGACCAGGGAAGGGGGCAGGCACCTGGTTCTCCTGACTCCGGTCTAGGGCACCTGGGTTACACACTCAGGCAAAAATCACCAGGGTAGACTCTGGGAGCTGGTCCCCTGGAAGCCTCTCTCTCTCTCTCTCTCTCTCTCTCTCTCTCTCACTATATATATAATGTTATATGTCCTTCCTCTCAAGTCAGTTGTGGGTTAGGCATTTGGGCTCCTGGGATGACTTACCACAAGGACTCTCAATTCTGCAAGATTGTGTCATGGACAAAAGGAACATGTTCATCAATTGCTTTATTGAGGATGGCAAAGGTATTGGCTGAGTTATTTAATCTTCTGTGTGTTGTACTGCCTCAGGGATTACGAATAAAGTTTACCCTCCCAAGGCAAGAAACATTTTTATTTTCACCTAATACTGCTTATAAAATACTTGCATAGCTAAAATCTATTGCTATTGTCGTTACAATTAATGTTGGTATAGTTAAAAATAGTGGATTGAATTCTGATTATAATTCAAGAACCACATCCCCTTTGTTGATTTATTTTTTTAAGTATGTTTTTATTCATTTTAGAGAGAGAGGAAGGGAGAGGGAGAAACATTGATTGATGCCTCCTGCACACCCCCTACTGGGGATTGAGCCCAAAACCCCACCGTGTGTCCTGACTGGGGATTGAACCAATGACCTCTCTCAGGTGCACGGGTTGATGCTCAACCAACTGAGCCACACTGGTCAGGGCCCCTTTGGTGATTCAGAACAAACATCCCCTCACTGGCAGCACCCTACTGCCACCTGAGTTAAAATGCAATGTAATTAGATTTGTTTTAAATAGGCCACCTTAAGCAGCCAGATTTCCAACCACTTTTACAGACCAAGAGAGCTATCTCTTAATTATTTCTCCTCTAGAAGAAATCAAATAAACCTTAGTGATGGAAGTTCTAAAGAAATATCATAGTTAATTAACTGTAGAAATAGATGCCTGTTTCTGATGTCTTAATAACTAAACATATTAAGACTGCTTGCCAATTTTTATTGAACAAATGAAAAGAATGTCCACCTAGGTTGGTCTTTCATTGGGACAGTCTTGAGAGGTGACGACCAGCAGGTGGCGCTCAGAGTCAGTTCTCGGACACCAGAATAGCGTGAATGGGGAAAAAAATCCGCACCAAGGAAGGTGCCTGCTTTAAATCCTCAAAGTGAGGTCCTCTTAACCACTTGTCATAAAATACCCGGAGACACCCGTCTGGGAAAATCGAAGTGTCAAGCTCAACATCTTTGCCACATTTCAAACTAGGTAATTACCTGCTCTCCCAAAGGGAATCTGTTTTATGTATTTGTGTCCTTTCTAGGTTATAGGTTTCCCAAAGGCAATGATCTCCCGTTTACTTCGTACAATGCTGAAGTGAAATGTGCGTCTTACAATAACAGTTTAATTATTCCCCATCCCTCCGAGCTACATGATGACCTGTTATATAATTGCTAGTAATATAGAAATGTGCCTGCCTCGTACAAACCCTAGCAATAAACGGAACTTTTTATCTGACCTAAAAGTAAATTGCTTATTTACTTCTCCTTTACAATATAAAAGGCCATTTCCCCACCATCCCCAGTTGTTAAGTCATTATCAAATAAACAACACTACATTTTAGTCTTGTCGTTTTTATTGTCTGCAGAGGTTTGGTGTTTTGTTGTTTTAACTACACACAACAAATACTTTGATAGACTCTAAAATAACAAAATAGTTGAACAACCTTTTTTTTTTTTTTAGATTTACATTTGTATAGAAACAATCTTGGAACTCCTCACCTCAAAACTAAGGTATCTGAAAACAGGGATTCACCAGTGTCGCTTTCAATAAGTGTGTGGTTAAGAGTTGCAGTTCCCATTTTCAACTGAAATGTGTCTCTATGCTGCTTCCCTTGGGCCCAGAGCTGAAGGCCTTGGGAAGGTGGCTGAGGGAAAAAGGGTGGCTGCTCTCCTATCCTTCTCGTGTGTGGAGGGCAGTGATTGGAACAGGGTTGTCATGGAAGCCAGGAAGTCCAGAAATCAATTGCACATCTCTAGTCGCCAAGGGTCAAAGTCATAGCGCGTCTTCCCACAACTCCCTATCTGTAGATGTAAAGTTCCGTCGTGATGGCCCAAATGCTGTCCCCTCCCCAAACGCTCCCTGCCTTCGCTAATCATGTCAGTTATTATGGGTAGGCTCTGGCTACGGTCCATACGTCCTCCCTAAAGGCCGGTCATTTTGTCACATTTAGCTATCATTTTTTGCATTATGTCACTTAGATGCTGTGTCGTGTGCCCAGTTAGGGTCTACCACCCGCTAAGAAATGCCTCACCCCGCCCTCGAATCCCCAAAGTGCCTACGAGTGAAGACCCCCTAGAGACAGTGGCTTGGGTGGAGCGCCTCCCAGAGACGCCTAGATCATGCCATTGATCTTAGTCCACTCGTAGATGTCCTGCTCGCACACGATGTCGGAGTTGATGAGCAGGTATCTGTCGCCCACGCAGAAATGCTTCTGGCAGGCGGCACATTTGAAACACTCCAGGTGATACACCTTGTCTTTCACCCGCATCGTCATCTCGTAGGCACGGATCCGCTTGTCACAGGAGGCGCAGAGACCATCCTGGCCAAAAAGCCTGGGGGAGGAGGGGGCAGAGGAAGAGAGACAAGCTGAGAAGACTGGCAGAGACACTGGCAGAAAGGGCTTGAGGAGGGGGCTGAATTTCCAAGATGTCAGGAAGCAAGGAGGAGTTGGGCTCACACAGATGACCGACGCGTACCGCCTTTCCTGTGGTTTCTGGGATGAAACCGTAATCTGTGGCGTTTGTGTTTGGCATAACTGGCCTCTCTTCTGAGCTCTCTCCCTGCCTGCAGCACCCCCCCGCACCACCACACACACACACACACACACACACACCTCTAGGCTGCTCTGGGCCCTCCTCTGTGGAAAAGACTGACCGGAAGTGATCTAAGTTCAGAGGTTAGGCATATATCCCGTGTCCCCTCCCAGGGGGACTTGCATCTTAGAAGTGAAGCTGCAGTAAACCCCGGGGAGACCCGCTGACGGAGAATTGACCAAGAATGTAACGAAATGGGCATCTTTCAGAGGCTCTCAAGTTCTATCATGTCAACAGCTACTAATTCTATAAGCTACCAAGGCCACTTCCACATGACTGTCCACAGGGCCCCCAGCTTCTGGGAGACGGAGGGGCTTGGACAGAAAGCACGTGGTACAGTTAATCGGCCTCAGAGACCTAGAGGACAAATAGCATCTCTACGTTGAACGGAAGATCTTAATTCAAGGTCCTCGCTGCCCCGTTGCCATGAATCTTTGGAGAAACTTCTGACGTTGAAATAAAGACTCTCCTACGTCTCCATAGACAATGAATATTTCACTAGACCAGTCTCTGGATATTTTAAGCACTATCCAGTGACAATGTGGGAGATGCACACAGTGGAGCCAAGTGCCGTGGTTCTCCGAGTGCGGTCCTGGGACCACCCGCATTTGCATCCCCTGGGAACTTGTCAGCAATGCACATGCCCAAGTTCCCCTGATTAAGACCCTCGTTGGCGGGGTGAGGCCCAGCGTTCTGTGTGTTAACGAGCACTTACAGGTGATTCTGGAAGTTAGGGCAGCAGCCTGCAAGCGTGGATGAGTATCCCAAGTACTGGGATCAGAAGAGCCAGGGGTAGTCAGCCCAGGAGTCCCCCTGAGCGCCTGTGACTCTGGGGAGACATCTGGTTCCTGTGAGCTGTGAAAGGGCAGTGAGCATAGCATCCACCTCCTCTGCTGCCAGAGGATCTAAGGGAGTATGTCACAGCACCAACGGTCAAGGGCTACTAAGCCAACACTGATTGTGTCTTAACGCATCTCGGGTCTTCCCAACTGCACCAGTCTGGCAACAGGAGTCATTTTCACACGTGCCTGATAGCGTGGCCTTTTCACATAAAACCTTTAGGACAATTTTAGGTAAGTGCTTGTTCTTACTGGAAGTTCTTATTAACTTCAGAATAGCAGGGGATCAATCGGTACCGTCTAAGAGGTTGTAGGGCAGATAAGGGCAATTGACAAATTAAGAAATATTTGGGTGAAATTTAACGGGATCAAGCAGACCCGGTCTGAGGCCAGAGAGCTCCCTGCTAGAGCCAGGGCCAGCTCGGTTCCCTCCGAATCCCGCTTCCCATTGGAAGAGCCTGGGTGTTCTCAAGGCACCACCTGGGAGCGAGTGAACTCATCACTGGCGGAGAACATTCTATCCCAGCGTAGCAGATGGCAGAGCGGCTGGAAACCGCCACCTTGGAGGTCGCGGAGTGGAAAGGCAATTCTGGTTTCCTGACTGTTCAGTAAGTTGAGTTTGGGCCTGAGCAAGGCTCATCGACTCACAAAACAGTGTGCGTGAAACGAAGCCAACCGCCTGGGGTGTGTGACCCTTAAGGAAGGACAGCGTTTATTAAAGGGAAGTCGGGGGTAAATTACAAGACACATCAGGCAGCTAATGAAGGGAAGGCCGAAGGAGGAACATTTGGGAGACAAGTTCAAGTCTAGTTAGCATCGCCTCTAACAAGCCAGGTGCCCCAGAGCCTAAGACTCCTCTCTCCCGGCTTCTGCGTCTTGAGTTGGGCAGCAAGGGGACTGGAAGCGAAGGCCTCTGCAGCCCCTTCCAGCTCAGGTATTGGGAGATTCTGCTCCAAGTAAAAATACACTAGGACTTGACATCTAACGTGAGCCTTCAGCGCTGGCACTGAGCACTGGGGCCTCAGGCTGGAGATCCCACCTACGTTGGGATCCTTAGCACCAATTACCTATGCCAGTGGTCAGCAAACTGCGGCTCGGGAGCCACATGCGGCTCTTTGGCCCTTTGAGTGTGGCCCTTCCACAAAATACCGACTTCTGTGCACAGGCCACGAAGTTTCAATCGCACTGTACGTGCGCGCCCGCACGTGGTATTTTGTGGAAGAGCCACACTCAAGGGGCCAAAGAGCCACATGTGGCTCGCAAGCCACAGTTTGCCGAACACTGTCCTAGACCAAATGA